TGTATTTGTTCGGTCTTCCATCAACCTAGGGTCAAATGGAATGTTCATTTTCCGGAGATCTGCTTGGATGTTATCTCTCCATCGTATTCTGAGACGTCCTAGTGGTCTTTTGCCTGTGGGAATATTTTTATACTCATCATTGATAATTCTAGTAAATAAAATAAAAGTTACTGAGAGTATCTTCTCACCAAATTTCCCCTGTAGATGCGGTGTGGTTTTTATTTTCTTATAAATTTATTACAAATATTATGCTTATGTTTATGTAGAAATCAATAATTAATGACTTTTATGTCAAAATTTAATTCCCTAGCATTGTATGCAATACATCTCCAACCGGGTCATATAGCAAATCGTAGGTGATACTCAAACAAGTTTTAATTGATTTTCTAATGCAAATAGCATATGTTCTAGCTTTTGACACTCAAGGAAAATTACCACTAAAAGACCATCCATTTGCGAGAACCTAATTGTTTATTAATTGAGAATGTACTCGATGTCATTATTTAGTGGTGCATTTACAAGCAAACTATTCTCATTAAACTTAGTAAGATGCCATTAGAACATAACGAGATCTTGGAAATGATGGCTCCTTGCTCTATTGCATTTCCCATAAGATTCATAGTGTTTAATTATCATTTCATACTTTGCTGTATAGGAACTTATTGAGCTACAAGTTCTTAGTAATTATTTCATCACTTTTACTATGTTGTCGTAATACAAGGCTAATGGATATTAAAGAGAAAACGTCATAATTTTTCTGTAGGCATTGTATTATTTTTTTAGGTATCAGGAATTCTTGGTATTATCGGAAAAGTTCCAGAAACGTATCGAAAAAATACCAGATAAGAATACTTTTTCTTCTTCGGTGCCTTATCCGGTCCGGATGTTGGCGATAATCAAGGCTATCATGGATTTGTTGACTGCTCCGCGAAACAGCTTCGCTGAGGTCATCCCAAACCAATCCCAAAGATAAGAATACAATCAACCAAATCGATCACATAGCAATTGACACCTGACACTGCTCAGAAATACTACATGTTAGAAACCGTGGAGGTGCAAATCTAGACTTTGATCAGTAGCTAGTATAAATAAAACTAAAAACAATGATATAAAATGGAAGAAAGGAAAGAGCTAATAAAGTAGAGAGATATGATATGAAAAAGCTCAGAAATACTCATAAAGTGAGTGAAACTTAAAAAAAGACTTAATGTACACCCAAAGAATGATATACAACAGTACTGTCGGACATGTGAAATAGTTAAAAGAAACAGTTAATGAGGTACTTGGGACGTTTAAGGGAAAACGAAATGAACATTGATTTGACGAAGAATGCGTTGAGGTAACACGAACATACTTAAAACTTCAACAAAGGGCAGCGAAAAGACAATCATAAGAATAGTACAAAATGTTGAGGAAAGAAGAGAAAAAGCTACATAGGATAGAAGAACGATAAAATAGAACAAAGAAATAGTTAAATACAACTTGAAACTCTTAGTAACCGATCAGACACGAGACAATTCTATAAAAACTAAACAAAATGCGAAAAGAGTACATCCATATTCAGTAGATATACTATGTTACTTCTGGCCCATCTCCTAAATCGCAACCCCTAAAACTCAACCCACTGTCGTAAATGCCAAACGGCTTATCGTAAAATGACGTGTGAGATATCGTTGAAAAAAGGATGAAAATGGGGATGAATGTACTATGTGTCATGTGTATTGGAGCATACCAAAAGGGCTTTGCATGATATTATATAGATAGAGATGAATTATTAGTAAAAAACAAATATGGCGGCATTAGCAAAGAAGCATTGCATGATATTCGTTGATAGTGACACAATTTTGACGTTGGACATCAAATAAAAGGGGATTGGCCGTAGATAAATTTTTAGTAGAAAAAAGGAAGGGGCACTATATCTTATCGTCGGTGTTAAGTATACGTTAGACAGAGACCTCCAGTGGTATTATTGTTGATTTTCAAAGGACAAGAGGCCATGCATGTACCGTTTGGCATGTGAAACACATAAAAATTTTCATCTTGTGTGCTGATACTCGGAGATGGTATGATAGAATGCTAAAGTGACCTTATACATAACATTTTATTAAAATGGACATCACAACGCAATTTGTTATTCAAAATCTTATAATTTGAGGAGTCACACGTAAAAATCCGACAATTTATGTCAATAATATATGATAGGATGCCAAAGCGCCTTTATACATAACAACATAAATATCACGTTTTGCATTGATTGTCACCTGTGTCCAATCCTCTTTTATTTGACGTCTCAAACGTTAAAATCGGACCAGTAACAACGAAGATATCATGCAATATCCCTTTGCCAATGTCGCCATATTTGTATTTTGTACTAAAAATTCTTCGCTAACTTCTGCCGTTTCCAACGAACCCTATTACGTCACGATTGTACCGATGACACAAGAGATATCATGCAATGGCATGTTGACATGCTCCAATACACATGACGCATAGTGCATTCAACTCTACAATAAGCCTATTCATACAATAAGCTGTTTGGCAGTTACGGCTGGGCTTGCGTTTTAGGTATTGCCATTTAGTGGATGGGCCAGAAGTAATTATTAAGTCGGTTTTGTACTAAAAGGGCAATTTATGTTTTGTTTTTGTTTTTTAAAACTCGAAAGCCGAAAACAAGACACGTGTAGGGCAATGGTGGAGTTCCGATTGAAATGAAATGCAATCTTTTACTTTCATTTAAACGTCTTTCTCTACGTAAAGAGCGAAAAAGATGGTAATTTTCAAAGGCGAATCGTAGATGTATGTCGAAGTAAAAGGATACTTCTACCGTCGTTAAAAGCCTCTAGCAAGAGGCTTTGAATTTGCGGTTCACCTAATTTGCTATCAGAGAGGTCTCTCGACTTCTTGTTATTTCGTATAGATGTCGCTGCTAGCGTACCCTGGCTGTTATTTTGGTTATAATGACCAAATTCTAGACTGCATTTCAATTCAGTTGTACTTCCACAAGTGCTCCTGACGATGGGTTGAATAACCCGAAACACATGTCGGGCAATGGTGGAGTTCCGATTGAAATGAAATGCAATCTTTTACTCTCATATATATATATATATATATATATATATATATATATATATATATATATATATATATATATATATATATATATATATATATATAATATAAAACTGTGCTCGATATCTGCCTTTTATTTGATTAAAATTCATTTATTCGAGCATTCAACCTCACTTATATCACTTTAAATAAGGTATTGTCAAATGTGATATACCAGAACTAAAACCAGCCGCAGAGAAAACAATTGCAAAATATCAGTGTGGCCTCACAGGCAAAGGTCTACAACAGACCAAAATTAAGACAAATCTTTAGAAAATGCCTACGAATGAATTATGTCCCTTCTGAATTTAATGTTGAAACTTATTAACTCTTTGTAGATTTCCGCACTGCAAAGGCAGTATAATTAGTAATATGCTATATAAGGCAGTGGTAAGCGTTAACATATCAAAGAAATAGGTAGAACTAGTAAAAAACACCATATTAAACGTTCAGTTTAGGGTGTCAATCCAAGCAAATTTGACAGATGCGTTCTCAGCAAACACCAGCCTCAAACAAGGAGACGTAATGTCTTGTATTCTACTTATTCTGGTTTTAGAATACATTGTAAGAGACATTAACTTTAGGGACACAATAGTAGAGAGGTGCGTATACATTATGGCATATGCAGATGTTGTAAATGTCATACGTCGCACGCGACACAAAGGCTGTTCATGTTATAAGTCAGGTTCATGTAACTTTGTAAGACCTACGAAGACTTTAATGAGGTAAAACTTATAAAACTTGGCAGAGAAAGATAGATAGGTCATGTGGAGCGTATGAAACCATCTAAACCAGCAAGAATCATAACTCAATAGCAAATAGTGGGAAAGTGACTCAAGCGATGGCCAAAACTGCGATATATGAACAAAGTACAGACGGATTTGAGGAACTCGAAACTAGAAACTGAACAACGAAAGCTTGAAATATAAACGAATGAAGAGGATTAATTGAATAGGTCAAGGCCCAATCTGAGTTGTGGAGCCAATGACTATGTTTAAGTATCTGCTCCATCAGTTAATAGTAGCAGTAAACGTTGTTCAGAAATCTAACTTTTTAGATATATCGGTATTATTGGTTTAGCTACTATATTTCTAAACCTACCGAAAATTGTCCATTGCATATTTTAGATATTACCTTCATTATTATTTTTCATTCACAAAATACAAAACAGAATAAAATGAAAAATGGAAAAATATCATAGCCTTACATATCTTCCAAATATCGTAATATATAAAAGTTTTAATTTATTAGAATTGTGTGTTTGTACGATACACAGATATTAACATCAATATGTTAGCAGTTGTACAAAGTTCTAATTAAAAACACATATTAATAATTATTTGGCACAAGCGCAGAGTAGTAGGTATTTGTGGAATTTTAATAAATATTTTCAATAAAAAATAAGGAATAAGCTTTAAAACACATTTTAATAAGGATGATCTAAGACGTTACACTCAAAAAATTTAAATAAACCAGTGGTATGTGAATGAATGATAGAGTATAATACACATGGGGGATGGGGCTACATTTTATATTTGTTGTGAAACCATCGTTAATAGTTTTAGTTCGTTAATCAAAACATGAAAAATATATTTTGTTTGTTGAATGTCATTTGTATGTTAAGTTATTATTTTAAAAGTGCTGTATTTGATGCATTATAAATTTATTTTTCACTAGAATGCTTTCAATAAAACGCCCATTTAAATGAAAAAGATCACAGATCTTATTTAGGGTAGACCATGATTTGCGTAGACTATCAAACCCCGGTGGCTTGTGGGTAATGCAAGAAATGATCGTATTTGAATGGTTTTCTAGAACGAAGTTCGGTACCTCCGGCATCCTGAATATCTTGGTGGATTGGCATATTTTCATTGTTTTTGATCGTTTTGTATTCACGTATAAGATTTATTAAAATAAGAATCAATTCGTATGCATGCCGCTAGAGCTCTGGGGGATATTAAGATACTTCTTTTTTGTTCTTCGTTATAGTTAAACATTGTAATAACCACTCTCCATGTTGAAGCTACAATCAGTTGTGGATTTCCGCCTGGTAATGTTAGATGGCATACTTCACTTTCTGATAAGAAAAACTGAGCGAACGGTAAATATGCGTTTCTGCACTCTGACCAATATTCTAAATGACACAGGACTTGAAGGTCATCATGAGATCCGAGTGTTCTCTTATAAGGTACCGAGAATATCCTAACTTTTGTTAAAGCTCGAGGCTGAGGATAACGCCATGCCATTGCAGATATGGATTTGTTCCAGAACATTACCTGATAGGGTAAGGGTAGCTCCTCGGTTTTATCAGAATTAGCGTCAACAAACTAAAAAGCAACTGCTCTTAGATCATCCCTATAGTGTTGATCTTTATCAAATCCTTTTCCGGAGATATTTTCTACATTTACAGGTTCAGGAGCCGAATTACTCTCCGTGATTGGCAAAGTTGCAATGAACTCATTTATTTCTTTAACCACAATTTCGATGCATCTAATCTGCTCGGGACTAACATCTAACATAATACAATCACTTTCAATGTTCACTTGGATCTGAGGATCACTATCCTGACTTTGCCACGATTCCCAAAACATTGAAACATCCACCGACGCGCGACGTCGACCAAGGATTGAGTAAAAGCTTTTTATACAGACCGTTAATAATTAAAATTGTCACACACTGGAGATTGGTTTTTACTGTTATTTTATCGGGACGCGTTGACAAAGTAAGATTAGCCGATAGTTTTTCCATGCCTAAGTGTATCTCATAGCCTGCGTCAGACTTGATTGCAAATAACAGCTGCTTAAAATCAACATTAACGACATTAATACCCCAGATCCAATCGGTAAAATTCTTTCAAAATATTAGTTTAATTTTAATTAAAATAAAATGCATCAAATACAGCACATTTATTAATCACTTGTATAAAATCATTTGTTATTTTATAGGGGTCATTAATATAATTCATGTTAAAAACAAAAAGTATTTCGTATAATTCGTAAACAGCATCACATAATAAATTATATTATCGATGATTTTTTTCAAACATTTACATAAACAATATATTAAACAATTTAACCTGATTTTACTAGGTGTAGAAATCGGTACAGTAAAGAAAAAAAAGGCTAAAAGATCTTATACATGTTTTTGAAGGTTCTAAAAGGGATATGTTGGATAGCTGATAAGAATTCCGTAAAGACTATGGCTAATTTTGTTTTGTGGTTTTTTAATAACCATAAATACATTTTAGAGAAAAATGGTTAAAATAAAAGTTGTAGATCATAAAAAATACATAATAAATTGAACCGAGATAATTAAAAAAACCCTTATTTTTGCAGTAATTTATATATGTTATTCACTTTGTTTTCTGCGTAATGACATGTTATATAACAACTTGAAATTATGGCAATTAATGAGTTAACTTTGAAAATAAGGCTATTATCAAGCACAAGTTAATTAAATCTAGCCCAAGTACTTTCGCTTAAAATAGCATCTTCAGGGGCATTTCGTCAAAATGTAAACTATCCGGCAAGCGTAGAATGTGGAAACATTAAAAATAACATAAAATTGTACAAAACACTACACTAAAACGAGGACAAACAGTTTAAAATCACTTAAAGATTCCACGCTACATTCTCTGTCAGTATCTGGAGGGATAATGATACTCTTTGTCAGTATCCCTCCAGATACTGACAGAGAATGTAGCGTGGAATCTTTAAGTGATTTTAAACTGTTTGTCCTCGTTTTAGTGTAGTGTTTTGTACAATTTTATGTTATTTTTAATGTTTCCACATTCTACGCTTGCCGGATAGTTTACATTTTGACGAAATGCCCCTGAAGATGCTATTTTAAGCGAAAGTACTTGGGCTAGATTTAATTAACTTGTGCTCGATAATAGCCTTATTTTCAAAGTTCATTTATTCGAGCATTCAACCTCATTTCATTAATTAATGAGTTATTGAAGAGTGCTAAATCTCAGCTAGCTCGACTAGATAGTTTGTAAGTTATTCAATTTAATTATCTCAGAGAGCGATTATTTAAACAACTGTACTTGCCCAAACAGTGTCTGTAAAGGTATTTTGCAAATCGCAATGAATTCTTTAAGGATTTAGTTTTCAGATGTTTTAAAAAAATTAAGATATCAAAGCTGATATAAAAAAACCGTTTGAAAAAGGTGGTGAAAAAATAGAATCTATACCAAAAGAACCTTCTACTACCAATAGGAACCAAGATGTTAATTTTATTTTTCTTAAAATCGTATTTCCATTGCTTACTAACATTAAAAGCTGAAAATTAAACATATTATAAATTAAAGTGATGGTACTCGTAAAATATCGTCTTTCCTATCTCCGTTTTTTAGGATAGAACTAAAAATTGGAGCGCACCAAAAAAATTGAAAAATCTCGGTTTCTATGGTACACAAAAGCTGAATTTTTAAAATGCGGTTGCTTAATAAAATAATAAGAACTATGCTATTTTTACCTCCCAGAAAATTCGGAAAATCTAGGAAAAATCAAGTAGTGAAATTTTTTCATAAAAAAAAGTTGAATTTTAAATTTATTTCATAAGAAATATTTTAATTTTGCTAATTAATTTATGTTATTTGTATAAATATATAATAATAATTAATAATTCTTCTTGTAAAGTACAAAACGATTCGTTTAAAAATTTGTTTTAAAACCATTTATTCAGAGAGTGTTAAAACTTCTTAAAAATAGGTCGTTTCATATTTTATTCTAAATAAATACATATGAAGTATCTGAACTACCCTTCCTTTTAATTTAAAGCCTTAAATGTTAAAATCAGACCAATAACAACGAATATAGGATCTACTGCCATTTGGGAATGTCGTTGTGTTTGTTTTTTGTCTTAGCATATTTGCTACCTCCTCCCGTTTCCACAATATCAAAGGTTGCCGCTTTTTCCCAGGGTCGGCCAAATATTTCCAGATCCAACCACCACAATCCCTACTGCTCCTGCTATATATTTCTTATAGAAATAATTTTCTCGAGCTAGCATAGTTAAAAAAATGAATATTCTGCGTGCCGTAGAAGATAGGATTGATTAAGTGAAAATTTTTCCAGCGCGCTTCAATTTGAAGTTCCTTTCTAAAAAACGGTATTCGGAAAAATGTTCCCTCCACTTTAACATAACGATATTTTACGAGTACAATCTAACAAGTTATAACTTTTTATGCCTTCCCTATATCCATACATTGGATCATAAAATCTAGATCTTCACTTTATGTTCAATTTTTAGCTCTTTATGTTAATAAACAATGAAAATATGATTTTAGAAAAAGCTGCTATCTTGGTTCCTACTGGTGATAGAAGGTTCTTTCTTTGTAAATATTGTGTTTTATCCACAACCTTTTTACCATATTTTCAGTGAGCCTACTCACAAAAGTGTTACTTAAAAAATATCGAAGTTATTATAAATGTTTATAAGCAATAAAGTCAGCCCATTTCAAATGGATATTAAAAAAAAATTATATTATAAAACTGAAGCATCAAAAAATCAATTGCGAGTTGCTAAATACCTGTAGAGTCACTGTTTGGGTAAGTACAGTTGTTGAAATAATCGAGGTCGAGAAACAAATTGAATAACTTACAAACTATTTGTTCAATCTATGTGAGATTAAGCACACTTCAATAACTCATTTATTGCCATAATTTTAAGTAGTTATATTATAATCTCAGTATCCAAAAAACAAATTTATTAACATTTATAAATTATTGCAAAAGTAAGGGTTCTTAGCAATTATCTTGTTCAATTGTTTGTGTAATTTTAAAACTCGCAAATTAAGGAACTTTTTAAGAGATACAACTTTTATTTAAACTTTTTTTTCTCTAAGATGCATAAGAAACGGCTTGTAGGCAAAACATAATTTTTTCACTTTTTACAAATATTTAAAAACAAAACAAAGCAAAATCTGCTGTATGTCTTCAAGGTACTTTCATTAGCTATCCGTCATATGCCTTTCTGATTCTTTAAAAACCTGTATATTTTTACGTGACATCGATAAGTTTTTTACAAATTGACTGGAGTAAAAATATAAATTTCAAAGTAGCCTTTAAGTGTTTAGTAAAAAAGCCCATAGTTTATACTAGTAGTTTAAATTTCATGAACTTTACGAGCAAGAAATTAATAGTAGACACTAAAGTGACAAGTTTAATCCCACAAATACAGTTTGTTACACCGCACGAGGCGCTTCTCGAAAGCAACAACTGTTCAAAGGATAAAAGCACTTTAGTTGCTCGGTATATAAATACATTATTTTTTGCACTGTATGTAACTAAAATTAGGCATATTTACGTATTGTTTTAAAAATTATTCATAGTTTAATATAGTACGAGCTAACTATTTTATTAGTCTGATCTGAAACACAAAATCTAATAAACAATTCAGTTTTAAGTGTCACTTTTCAGCAGAATACCAAAAAGCCACACAGTAAAAGATTTCTGAACATTGGAAAATATTTCAGACCAAAGAAATTAAAGTTATTTATTAGAACATTTTGCTAGTTAAGCAAAATTACTATTATAACTTTAGAATACTGAATCAAAATAATTACAGTTATTCTCACTGGAAACTGAACTGGCAACATGCATATTAAGAGAAAATGCAGAGGAGTCGGCCGACACACAACCTGTAACTGCAGGTTATGGTTCGAAGATGCAAAAGATGCAGGTGATGCAGATATTGGTGTTTGAAATGTTATGGTAAGTGTATTTTATTTTGCCATTAAGTTACATACAAAGTTAACCTCATTAACAAAATAACGGAATGATTTTGTTTAAGTTTCCGCAAAAGTGAAAGAAGTGACAAAAAGAAAATATTGGTTTTTATTAGATTATGGAAAAACTCTTAGCTCACAAGCACAAGAAGTCGTTATAAAAGTTTATACGAGTACTTTGAATAAGAAAAGAAATGAGGGACCATTTAAAACGTTGTCGTCTGTTTAAGAGCTACAAAAAGTACAATTTTCAAATGTGCACTATTATAAAGCTTTAATGACGACAAGCATATCTATTATTAATATTATTTAATTGGCAACTTTTCGACAGAACAAAATATTTATAATTAGCAATTTTTTGACGACAGCGTGTCATATATACGTTGCTCAATTGGCACCCAACGTGGGGCATCTTTAGGGCAGAGCGCTTATTCTAATACTAGAGAAGCTAGTAAATCTAAGGGATAATTTAGAAGGTTGCCAATTTAAAATCAACTAAAAGTATAACAACAAAGAATTATAGGGGTTTATATGTTCTCCCGCACTACGCTTGATAGTTTCTGTAGTAGTTACAGACGAAACATCGGAAAATTTTGGAACCTGGCATATACACCCCAATAGCAGTACCCTTTT